CCCCAAAACCCCAAAACCCCAAAACCCCATGAATTTAAAAATTAAGATTTAAATGCAGTAATTAAATAATAATATTAACATTTAATGCAGATGAAAAAAGTGTCAAAATAGAATTTAGTTAAATAACTTTAACCTGTATCCCCATTTTTTAACTCCAAGAAAAAGCATATTTTGGGAGAAATTTAGGAAGAAGATTATAATCTAAATGCATCTTAAGAGTCTTCTGAAGAAGATTATGCCAAGAGCAAGAGAGGATCTTTTTCTAGAGGAAGAAATAATACTCTATTGCAATCATCTGATCTTAACACAAACTTACTTAACATGAATACATTAACCACTCCTCAGCCAAGCCATCAATACTGAGCAAACTCTCTCTCTTCCAATAATTCAGATACTCCAAAAAGATAAGAGGCAGGTATAGAGAGATAAAACTCTTAAAATACTCATACCTATAAAAAATAAGTAAGTAAATTGCAGTTTGGTGACTCTACTATAATGAATCGTAGAGGTTCCTTCAGTACAAATCTGAACAAGACCTCAATATAAAACAATTTGCTTAAAGAACAGTCATCAATATTAAGTGATGGTTTACCTAAGAAAAGTATTAAGAGAAATGTAGTCATACCACCCAGATAAACCACTACCCCTAATTCAGAAGCAATGTCTCCTTAAAGAACTGATTCTGATTAGTTATTTAAATTTCTAAGCAAAGATAGCAGATTACTTCAAACTTTGGGACTAAAAAGGAAAAATATACAAAATAGAAATCATAGTTAGAGCCCAGGTCATCTATTAAAAATGTATGATATTATCTCAGATGAAGAGAATGATATGCTCTGCAATGAAGATGAGAGTGATGTCGAAAGAGATTAATATTCAAAAAATCTTATTCGAAGTGCTCTCGGTAGCTAATATAATTCAAGTGAATCAGAGGAAGATGACAAGAAAATAAAACTTACAAAATTTGACAGTATTGTTAATAGTGTGATCAGCTTAAAACTTGAAAAATAAAGAAAGACAACATCTGTTATCAGAGCAGCTCCACATCATGATAAAATGCTTGAAGAATAAGATTCATCTTTCTAATCTGAAAACATAAGCAGCAATGATTCTAGCAGTGACAGCGATTTTTAAGCCCCTGAAAGTGTATTTGTAATTAGATACTAAACTCATTTATATAGGTGCATATTGAAAACAAACTAGGCCTTTACAAGAAAAAAGTTAAGTAATAGGAAGATAAAGCATCTAGTAAAATTAGCTTAGCTGTCTAGAACCACACTTTCTTTCAGCATAGAAAATTCAGTCATCTAAAGTTTAGCATTGAAGAGTCTAATGATGGAAGCTCTGAAAATGGATCGATGAAAAAGAAAAATAACAAAATTTATCTATCGTCCGATTCAAGCAGCAGTCATAGCTCAAATATGAATCTCAATCAGCTAGTATAAAAACATATGCTAACTGGAAATATGCAAGATGAGCTTGGAGAACTAGATATTGATTAAGAGCTTCTTGGAGATGCAAGCTAGAATCTATTTAGCAGTCCAAATCAACATCCACAATTTAATCAAGAATACTTTGGCATGGGCTAATCAAGTATTGCCAAAGCTCTCAATAATTCTGAGTCTACATTGAGCCAGGATATTGAGAGTTTTGTTATGAGAAATAAATCTCAGCAATTCGATGTATAAAATCCCAGAAACTCACTTCTCAAGATATTTCAAAATTCTACTAGCAAGGAACGAAATCAGAATTAAAACATTTAGAACAGCAGAACAGATAATGTTTCTATTGAATAATTTTCCAAGAACTTAAGATAGCAAGATAAATATCAAGCAAATCTAGATCCTGGTATGAGTGATTACCTTAGAAGATTCAGTTCAGGGGTTATTAGTTCGATTCATTCAAGGGGCTCTGTACATATTGTTTAACAAACTCATGTCAAGAAGCAATAAAGAAAAGTTGCTGAATTCTTAAAGAAAAAGAAGTAACATAGACTCATTAAAAAAGGGGAAATAAAAAGGATAAGTAAACAGACGGTTTAGCTAAAAAGAGAGGATGCATTCAAGAGTATTTAATATAATGACTTTATTGGCATGGAATCATATGTGAAATAAAACCTGTTAGATCTTAATATTTTTGATCCTCATGGAAATAGCTTACTAAGTGTAGCAGTATAATAAGGTAATGCAGATATTTGTGATTTACTTATCAAAAACGGAGTTTATTTAAATACTTAAAATGTAAATTTCCTTCAATAATCTTAGATTTATTTAGGAAGATGGCAATACTCCGTTGCATTATGCTATTGGATATGGATTTTAGAAAATAATTTAGCTTTTAATTGATAATGGAGCTGATGAAAGTATAACAAATAAAAAGAATAGAACTCCTTGGGAGGGAATTTGATATTTTTCTAATTTTAAAAAATATCAAAAGTGAAATCATTATAACCTACGGGGTTTTGGGGTTTTGGGGTTTTGGGGTTTTGGGG